GCAAGTACTGAAGAGGGACTGTTTGACATTACCGACAGAGGCAGACATAGCTGGGGCCCATGCGAGTGCCCATGGCCACTCCCTGGTTTTGGAGAAAATGGGAAAAATTGAAGGAAAAGTTATTGAGGATGAGGACTAATTCGGCAAGGCAGAGAAGGGTATTGCTGGGGGCAGTACTGGGTGGGTCTGTTGATCAGGAAAAAAACAGAGGCCCTGCAGACCGTCCTTGTGGGGTATGGATGTATATTGGGGTTGCATGTCCATAGTAAAGGTGAAGCGCTGGGGGCCAGGGAACTTGAAGTTTCCGAAGAGGTGGAGGACGTGGTTTGTGTCCCAGATGTAGGTGGGGACTGCCTGGACCAAGGGGGAGAGAATGGAGTTGGGGTAGGAAGCGATCAGTTCAGGAGGGCAGGAGCAGGCAAAGGCGATGGGTCGTCTGGCATAGTTGGGCTTACGGATCTTGGGAAGCAGGTAGGACTGGGCATTGTGGGGCTCAGGGACTATAAGGTTGGAGGTGTGGAGGGGAGATCACCTGAGGCAATAAGGTCATGGACAGCGCGAGAACCAGTGGCTTAATGGGCCATGGTCAAGGAGGAGGTAGGACTTGGTGACAGAGAGTTGGCATTTGGCCTCTGCGACATAGAAGTCCGTCCTCCAGTCTACTACCACCCTGCCTTTGTCAGTGGGTTTGATAGTGAAACAGGGATTGGTGCAGAGAGAGTGGGGCACCTCACATTGGGAGGGGTGAGGTTGGAATGGGTGAGGGGGGGTGGAGAAATCGAGATGGTTGATGTCACATTGGCAGTTAGCAATAAAGAGGTCCAGGGCGGGTAAGAGGCCGTGAGGGGGCGTCCAAGAGGAGGAGGAAGGTTGGAGGCAGGAAAAGAGGTCCCTGGAGGGTGGTTGGGAGTCTTAATTGAAGGCGGCGGCATGGAGGCACAGGTGGCAGAAGAAGAGCTCCACATCATTGCAGGACAAAACTGGTTGAGGTGGAGGCATTGGGGTATGAACATGAGCGCTTTACTGAGGACAGAGCATTCAGCCTCAGAGTTCAAGGTCAGGGGAATAGTGAATATACAGGAAGGTTCTGGGGGGTTTTTGAGGAAGCTGAAGGGGGGGGGGGAAGGGCAATAGCATGTGATGGGGGAGGGTTGGATGTGGTGTGGTGGGGGAGAGCAGTTGTGGGAGGGAAAGGCGATTGGGAGGGGAGTGGGATGGAGGACTGAATTGGAAGAGGAGTGTGGGAGAGATGAGGTGGAGAGGTAGGAGTAGTAGTGTATATTGTGGGGGTGGACAGTTGAGGAGGGAGAGATGTGTTGGCTAGCTGCAGGTGGGTAGTAGGACCCAGAGTGACACTGGGGATAGGAGTCTGTGTGTTAGTTAGGAGAGTGGGTGGAGTCGGGAGTGGAGGCAGAAGTTGCGACAGGTCCCAATCCTTTCGTCTGCGAAATTCAGGGCAGCGTTGGAGAAGTCATCTGGAGTAGAGACGGAGGTTGAAGGTGAATTCTTATGGGTCTCAGTCGATGGTTGCAGAGGCTCAGGTGCCGGACTGGAGCCAGAAGTGGCGTCAGACTGGACAGGCCTGGTGCCGGATGAGGCCTGCATGCGTGTAAGGCAGTGGCAGCATGGGTTCCTGGAAGTGGCCGGAAATAGGGTGCTGATTTTGAACGGTGAGTGGGTTCTCCGACTGGAAGTGAATAGAGGAGAATCTTGCGAACTTACAACTTTTAATATCTGGTATGAAGCAGAAAAGCCGTTTGTTGAGTGTGTGGATTCTCCGTCGAATATAGAAGAGTAGAGGTTCCCTGCAAGTTTGGGAAAGGGAAGCCTTGAGCTGGGGGAGGGATGAGGAGAGGGAGTGGAGGTGCTGGCACATTGCAGAGAGGGCTGAGTAGAGAATCTGGAGAGAGAACTGTTTATGGAGGTATTGAAGGTGTTGTGTGTATGGAGCATCGAAGGTGGGTCCAGATTTTGAGAGTTTGAAATGTACCTGAGGGATGAAATGGTTACAAAGACAGGAGCTGAGGAAGGTCACGTGGCTGTAGCAGCGTGTTTGTTTCACAGTGTAGTCGAAGAGCTGAAGGGCTGCAGAATCACAGCAGTGTGGCAGAGTGAAAGGGACTCACTGAGTTCACATCTGAGGGAGGCAAAGAGCTTCTTCAATGTGTTCATCCTTCCCCACCACCCAGAACATCTTCACTTCCCCTCCCTGGCCTTCTGCAAGGACTATTCCCTTTGCCGCTCCTTAGTTCATGCCACACTCCCACCAACCGCTCCGCCACACCCCGGTACCTGCCCCTGTAACTGTAAAAGATACAACACCTGCTCTCACACCACCTCCCTCACCTCCATCCAGAGCCCTTAACAGTCCTTCAAGGTGAGACAGAGTTTCATCTGCATCTCCTCTAACCTAGTCTACTGCATCCGGTGCTCCCAATATGGTCTTTTCTACATCAGTGTGACCAAATGTAGACTAGGCTACCATTTTGCTGAGCATCTTTGCCTGGCCTGAAACAGCCAGCCTAACCTCCCGGTCACTACCCATTTCAACTCTCCTCCCCCCCAACTCACCCTCCAACATGTCCATCCTGAGCCTTCTCCAGTGAATCAGATCGCAAATTTTAGGAACAAGACCATATCTTCCACCTGGGTACCCTACAGGCCTGAGGACTTAACATTGAGTTCTCTAATTTCAAATAACCTTTCCACCCTCCCTGCACCTCTCTTTCCAGTCCTGCTTCCTCCATTCAATTCCACCTACCACTTCCTCCCTTCCATTCCGTCTACCAACCAGATTCATCCCTCCCATCAACCAACCAGGTCGTACCTACTACCGGTGTCCACCTATCACCATCATTCCACCATCCTTCCCCACCCCCGCTTTATCTGCAGCTCCCTGTACCCCCACATACAGTCCTGAAGAAGGGTAATACCCAAAATGTTGGCTTCTCCTCCTTCAGATGCTGTGTTTTTCCAGCCTCCTGTTTGTGAACCTGGTAATATAAAAGGCTTCAGAGCTAGTAGGAACTGCAGATGCTGGAGAATCTGAGATGACAAGGTGTAGAGCTGGATGAACACAGCAGGTCAAGCAGCATCAGAGGAGCAGGAAAGCTGACGATTCGGGCCTAGACCCTTCGGTTTCCTGCTCCTCTGATGCTGCTTGACCTGGTGTGTTCATCCAGCTCTACACCTTGTTATCTCAATATAAAAGGCTTGGTTATATTTCAAAGGTTGCTTTTCAGTCTTTGGCTGTTCATTTCATCAATACATTTGTGTACATTTGAACGATTTTCCATGCTGCTAGTGTTGTGGTGTTGTTGTACCTTTCTGGTCACCTAGATCCCGTTCTGGGGTCTGATTTGGCTTTTGAAACCAGATTTTCTGCACACATGCACCCAATGCTCTCTGGTTCCACATGTTTTGCAGATGTGTAGAAATGCCAATTTCTGGGTAGGTGACAAACTGCAACTATGACAGATCTCGTGAATTTGGTGTATTTTGCATATCATAGCAATAGTGTTGTACGCACCCAAAGCATATAGTTGATGTTGGCCTATCACTACAGTTTCATGCTAGCATCCAAGTTCCAGCAAGGCTGGAATGGTATGGCCCTTTTTCTTGCCTAGATCATTCTGGAAAGCTTTGATCAGGGTAGAGGCAATTACCTCCTTAAGTAGCCACTCCACCTCTTCAGAGAAATCACACTCATGCCCTCTACTATAGCATCCGTCAACAGCCATGTCAAAAGTTTCTTGCAGTTTCTGTCTGTACAACATGAATTGGAGTCAGTTAATCTATCAATCAGAAAATTGATTCATACGTTAGGTACCTGCTGTGAGACATCCAGACACAACATCCAGAATCTCCGCTTTAGATCCATGCATGGCAGCTGCCAGGTGCAACTTCTGTGGAACACCCTTCCCTGTAAAACCCTGCTATTTGAAATTCCTTTCCTCATAATGAGGTGCAATGCCCAGCTTTTCTACTGTCAGTGTCAACAACATGAACAACAGGAATGTTGTATGGTGGCTGTTGAATGTTCTCTGTCATGAAATCAAATGATGACTGATCATGGGATTTCTGCTCCTCCTCTCCACCTACTCACCATATCCTGTGATTCCACGACAGATCAAAAATTTTCCACTTAAATATAAAATGGGACAAAGTTCTTCTACAGTATACATGAAGCTTTAAATATCTTCAACAATGGAACATCCACAATCAATTGAGTGAAGCCAAAATTGGGCTGCTTTATTGCCATTCTAGTATGCTCCTTGGGGTTCTGTCAGCCCACATAGGCATTCCGTAAAATCCAAACAAGCTCATAAAATTGTATGCTATTTACACTCTGATTGACCCTGTTAATCTTTTGTTGATTTGGGACTTCTTTTTTCTTGCCGTGGTGATTAGCTTTGCAAACTATGGAACTGATATGATAATATTATCGTTCTACTCTGAAGCTTCCCTACACAATGGTATGTTTACTTACAACTCTGCACCAGTCTTCAAATGGCCCAAATAAATCTAGTCCTTTTTTTTAATGCATAACCATTGCATGTGGAATGTTTTACCTCTTGCTATAAATGTATCAGTTAACAAATAATTGATTACCCACTTGTTTTTCTAACTACATTCCAAGAACAGGAACAAAGGATGTTCAAGATTTCGGATGAAAGAAGCTTCCCTCAATGACCAACTACTAAATTACCCAAGGGTGACTCTTTTAAGCTACTTTTCAAAAGCAGTACTAAAATGAAAATCTTAAAGAGGCAACCAGCCTGAACTATTCCATTTAACAGTGAACCATCATTACCACTTCCCCGGTTCCATGATCAGCTACAAGAAATTACATTACATTGTTTTTACATTTATTAGAAATATTACAACTTGAAGAACTCTACAAGTTTGTAAAACACAAAATGAAAAATAATTTGCATGCAAGTTTCAGTTAAATATAAACTAGAATCAATTATTTTAAGAATTAAACAAGCATTGGTTACCATTTGCAAATACTGTATCTCTGCTCGAAGGGCCTCACAAACACTTTCCAAATCATCTTCCTTGTATAATTCCAATTCTTTCTTTAACCTAGAGCAAAAGTGTTTCAGAAAACGAGGAATGTTCTTAAGCTTTGAATTCAATTTTAGATTTTTCTAAATGATATAGTCAATTACAAACTAATGTCAACATCAGGGATTAAGAGGAGGCATATTCATAATTAAATTCTCTACCATCAAAGTTCTATGTATGGCATCTGAGTAGATATCTGGATATCTTTGGGTCATCTCATATTATCTTCATAGAGTTTCAACTTTCCATACCTTCAAGGGTGTCACCCTAAATTTGTAAGCTGGGTAAATGCTCAATAGCTGTTTTAGGATAATAGGAAATTCGACTGATAATTATTTTCATGCTACTGAAAATTATGCCATAACTACAAGATCTGTCCAGTATTCAAAGCAGTAACATCAGATGGTATTTTCAGTTTAAGTTATTAAAGAACTTTATCAACAATTGAACAATCTAGGTCATATAACACAAATTATATACTTACAACAGGAAGGCTAACCACCTTGGATGGATATTCTGGGTATCATTTAACTATTCTCTACTAAGCAAGCTCATTGAACAGATCCAGGCTGATACGTAATTTTCATACCTGACAGATTTAAAGTGATTGTTTATCGTATATTTAAGTAAACTGGAAGAAGTTTAGAATTCAACAATGAAGGAACATAGGGATTGATTTAGAGGGGGGAAAATAGAATGAGAGAGTAAACTTGTGGGAAACATATAAACTTAATGTAAAAGCTTCCATAGATAGGTGAAGAGAAAAAAAGTTTAGTGAAGATAAAAGTAGGTTTCACGACAGCCAGAAACAAGGCAAGATGGGAAACAAAGAGATGGCAGACCAATTAAATACACACTCTGGTTCTATCTCCACAAAGGAGGACATAAATAACATCCTGAAAATGTTGGGGAACAGAGGGTCAGGTGAGAGGAAGGAACTAAAAACAAAGTATGAGTAGGGAAATTGTTGGAATAAAATGCTGACGGATCCCCAGGGCCTGATAACCTACATACCAGAGTACTTAAGGAAGGGGCCTTGAAATAGTGGATGCACTGATGGTCATCTTTCAAGATTCTATCGACTCTGGAACAATTCCTATTGACTTGAGGAATGCTAACATAATTCCACTGTTTAAAAAAAAAAGGAGGCAGAGTGAAAGCAGAGAATTTTAGCCTAGTTAGCCTGACATTAGTAGTGGAGAAAATGCCCAAGTCCATCATAAAATATTTAATAGCAGAGCACTGGGAAAATAGGGACATCCTCAGACAAAGTCAGTATGGATTTACAAAAGATAAATCATGTTTGACAAATTACTTGTATTTTTCAAGGAGGTAACTGGTAGAGTTGATAAGGGGAGCAGTGGAAGTGATTTACTTGTACTTTCAGGAAGCTTTTGATAAGGTCTCACAGAAGAATTTAGCATGGACAGGAAAAGCACATGGGATTAAGGTCATGTACTGACATGCACAGAGAATTGTTTGGCAGACCAGAAACAAAGAGTAGGATTAAACAGGTCTATTTCCAAGTTGTTGGCAGTGGCAAGTGAGCTATTGCTGGAATCAGTGTTTGGACCACTGATACTTATGAATGATTTAGATGAGGTAACTATATGTAATATCTCCAGTTTGCAGATGACACAAAGCTAGATGGGAGGGTGAGCTGTGAAAAGGTTGCAGATATGTTTCAATCTGATTTGTACAAGTTCAGTGAATGGGCAAATGAAATATAATGTGGATAAATGTGAGATTATTCATTTTGGTAGCAGAAAATTGAAGGCAGATTTTCACCTGAATGGCAATAATTTGTGAAAGGGAGAGCTGCAACAAGATCTGGTGTCCTTGTGCACAGAAAGTAAACACGCAGGTGCAGCAGGCATTGAAGACAGCATATGGTATTTTGGCCTTGATAGTGAGAGGATTGAAGTACAAGAGCAGGAGTATTTTACTGTGATCGTACAGGGCCTTGGTGAGTGCGGTTTTGGTCTTTTTGTCTGAGGAAGGCTGTTCTGGCAGTGGAGGGAATGCAAGGAAAATATATCAAATTGATTCTTGGGCTGACAGGAAGAAGAGATACTGGATCAATGAGGTCTAAAATCATTGGAGTTTAGAAGAATGAGGGAGAATCTCAGAGAAACTTTTAAAATTCTAACAAGACTAGACAGGATTTTTAAAATTCATTCATGGGGTGACAGCATTGCCAGCTAGGCTAGCATTTATTGCTCATCCGTATTTGCCCAGTGGGCAGTTAAGAGTCGACCACATTGCTGCGGGTCTGGAGTAAGGATGCTTCCAATGAACAGGGACTTCAAAACCAAGGGACACAGTCTAAGGATATGGGGTAAGTCTAAGGATATAGGACCAAAATAAAGAGAAACGTCTTCACCCAAAGGGTGGTGAGCCTTTGCAATTCTCTGCTACAAAAAGCAACTGAGGCAAAAACATTGAACACTTTTTCAAGGTGTTAGGTATAGTTCTTAGGGCTAAATGGATAGAAGGATATGGGAAAAAGCTGGAACATGGTACCAAGTTGGAAGATCAGCCATGATAATATTGAATGGTGGAACAGGCTTGAAGGGCTAGATGGCATATTCCTATGCCTCCTATATAGTTATGTTGTAATCTTTTCTTAGGTAAAGAGGTCAAGACTATAAAGGAGGTCAGAGGAGATCATATATGTCAAATGTGTACACATCAAGGCTGCAGTAGGGCATCCCTGCTCCTTGCAATAAAGGTCAAGATGCCATTTGCCTTCTTAATTATCTGCTGTACATGTACGCTTGCATTTAGTGACCAATGTACAAAGACACCTAAGCCAGCCTGTACATCAATAATTACCAATTTATCCACCGACCTATTATTTATTTAAGTAACATTCTCTGATTGCTTTTCTATCAAGGATAACAACACACTTATCCATACTATACTGCATCTACTATGTTTATGTTCACTGACTCAACTTGTCTAAGTCACCATGAAGTCTCTTCATTTCCACCTCACCATTCACAAGCCCATCTACCTTTGTGTTGTCAGAAAACTTGAAAATATAACATTTGGTTCCCTCATCTAAATTATTAAAATATATTGTGAATAGCTGGGGCACAAGCACTGATCCCTTGGTAGTGCATTAGTCTCTGATTACCACTTGGAAGACTACTCATTTACCCCTAGTCTATTTCCTGTCTACAAATCAATTCTCAATCCATGCTCGTATATCAGCCCTAGGTCCATGTGCTTTGATTTTGCACACTAACCTTTCATGTAGGACTTGATCAAAAACTTGCAAGAAATCCAAATGCACCACATTCACTAGTTCCTCATTATCTATTTTGCTAGTTACATCGAAAACTGCAGTAGATTTGTCAACTATGATTTCCTTTTCGTAAATTCACATTGAGTTTGTCCAATTCCGTTGATAATTTCGAAGTGTCCCATTTCACATACTTTGTAAGAGACTCTAACATTTTCCTATATCTGATGATAAACTGATCTGTATTTCCCTGTTCTGCCCCTTTCTCCTTTTTTTAAAGTTTGGTAACATTTGCCACTCCAATCTGCCAGGACTGTTCCAGAATCTAAAGAATTTTGCAAGATGACGACCAATGCAAAATGCTTGCAATGAATTTTTTAAGTTTGCTATGAAAAGTATGAATGTCTGACTGATTTCCAGCTTCAAAATTATCTTCCTCAATCACTTCCTCCAATGCAGATTTTGTGATTTTAGATGAATAAACCAGCACTGATTGCACCTTACTCCTGGTAGAAGCTAGTTATGTTGCAGAATCCTTTTGCCCAGTTGTAAAACTGACCTTGTCACAGGAAAATGAGATGAAGCAGTGGGATCTGGCAAAAATGGCATTGGTCACAGTATTAATGTATTTGTAAGTGGACCATTGAGAATCCCCATACTGACCCCAATTGCTTCCTGCAATTAGCCAGTTGCAAACATGTTCGATACAGCTGTCACCTTGATGGCCAACAGGATAGGAAGGCCACCCACTCCCTCAGTTTGAATCCAGCTCTTAGTACAGTTCAGTAGCTGTGTCCTGGGACATTCTCAGCGTATGTGACCCTACACCCTTCTCATCTGGAGGAATTGACATTGAGGATAAAAGACTTTGGCCCTCCTATGCCTCGAACTCATCCCTTCAACAGCAACCTCTTCATGTGGGGGTTGTTTGGGTTCTGCTGGAGGTAACTGCTGCACCAACATTTGCCAGCGTATCTATTCCTATTCCATTTCTCTGTGCTATTGTTGCATTACAGCAATAGCAACAACCATATCTGCTGTGGCTAGATCCATCAGTCACACTTGCAGTAACCCTTTGTAGGGAGAAGAAACAGAACAGGTCCTTAACAATGTTAGCAGTCAGCATTCACATCCCTTATAAACGAAGGCTTAACATACTCATCTATACAGTGACACATGGAGCATTCAAACAAGGAGGGTCATGTATTGACTCATCTGGGCTGTTTGACATTGGACCGTATTCCGACAAATGCATCACCAGTCACATGGCAAATAACAGCATAGAAGATAACAGCAGAGTTAGTGCTGCATGAATACAGATCCCTTCTCCCAGCTTCATATTATCCACAAAAGGGGGTATCATTGCATGAGAGAGTCTTGCATTATACTTATAGTACAGGTTGAGTTGGAACTAGTTCACTGGGGACAAGGATTCTTAAGATTTGCACATTAACGTGGGAAACCCAATAGGGTAATTAGGTCTATTGGAGAGGAAGAAAGAGCAATGCAACTTGTGATATTATAGACTTCAGAACTTTAATAATTGCTTATGGACTGAATGAATCAACAAAAGATAGACTATTACACACAGCAATAACTCTGTCTGGAATAAACTATTAAAGGACAGGGCCAAATTTATACAGGAATTGAAAGCAATTAGCCATGTCTGGGAGTGGGAGCTACATAGACAAAACTGCTTTGGTACCTGCACGATAAACCAGATGTTACAAGGACAACTAATTGCCCTGTAGAAGAATTTAAGTAGTTACCT